CGCCCACAGGTAGAAAGGCCTCTCACAGTCAGTGATGATGGGGTTCTCAGTCACGAGGAGCACTCACTCCAGGAGTCTGAGCAGCAAAAGCACCGAATAAAGGATGGCTCAGAGCACGTTCCAGAGAATTAGACTTGCACTGGAGTAATGCACAAGTGCACCTCTGGACTGCTCCAGGGGAAGCACAGTCACGGCAGCTACCATGGCCTCAAGACAGCTCTGCCGAGACAGCCACCACCGTGGCCAGATGTCCCTTACTTGTTTGCCAGGCTAGAGGCCACCCAGCACCTCATTCCTCAAGTGCCAAATATGCTGAATACAGACACGTCTGGTTGACAGCTTCTAAGCCTGACCTGCTTCTTGGGGAGTCGAGGAAAGGAAATTTCTGGTTTCTACCTGTGCACATAGTACGGAAAATTCTTCAAGGCTGGGAGGAGCGCTGTGTATCTTAAGCATCCAGGTACAGAGCAAAGAATCCCATGGCTGGTCCACCTAATCAGTGGCCAATACTCTACCTTCCTTCCCAGTCCTAAGAAAATAAATCAGCATGCACAGAGGCCACTTGTGGGGTGAAGCGTCTATTCTCCTGATTTTATTTAAAAAGAATGGAAAAGGATAGGGGAAAGCAGTGATATAGCATTTTACATCACCAGTTCTGCAAATGTGAAGGTCCAACAATATGGTGCACTGATGAACATGCAGAAGAAGAGAACTCTACTCTTAAAGAGTTGGATGGATGCAGCCACTTTGGCCTGCAATTCAGAAGAAATCACTGAAACTGAAAATACTCCCACTCCGTGACCCAGAAATCCCACTAGTAGAGAAATCCTCAAATGTACATACAGAGACATATATAAGAATGCTCATTGCAAAAACTGTTTGCTTCAGTGCTGGAAATTGAAAGTGACCAGGATGGACATCAACTGGAGAATGGATAAGAGTATTGCCATTTATCAAATAATAAAATACTCTTCAGCAGTTATAAGTGGAGTAGGACTACATGTAGCAAGGTGGAGAACTATCTAAGACATAAAAACTGGGTCACAGGGCACAGAAGGAGAAAAGATAGACGAATCATGCCTCGATACCAATTAGATAAAAGTTAAAAATACAAAACCCCACAATCACACGTTCACGAGTGCACATCCACTGCCAGGCACACGTGGCTGCAACACACACTGCATCTTATCTGCCTTGGTTACCGTTCTCATGGCTGAGACAAAATAGCCAACATCCAAAGTCAAAGGAGGAAAGGTCTGTAGCCCTTACAGTTGGTAGAGGTTCGGTTCGTAACCGGCTGGCTCAGAGGCAGAGCAGCATGGCAGACGGGCATCACAGAGGAGAAACAGTCCATGGCGTAGCAGGGCAGGCAAAAGGCAACGAGGAGAAGCAGCAGTGAAGTAGCAAGTGACAGCAGCAGCAGGAGCAGAAGCTGCAGCAACCCTCCTTTCTGTCCCTTATATTCCATCCAGGGTACCTGCCCTTTGGGTGCTCACACCCAGGGTGGGACACTTTTAATCACAGCATCACACACTCTAAATCCAGCCACTTTCCACATATTATTATTATTATTATTATTATTATTATTATTATTATTATTATTATTTTGTACCAGGGATTGAACTCAACCTTGTGCTTGCAAGGCAGGCAGCAGAACCACTGAGCTAAATCCCCAGCCCCATAAAAATTGGTGCTGAGGATCAAATTTAGATCCTTCACACTGAGCTACATCCCCAACACTTTTTTGGGGGGATACCAGGGATTGAACTTGGGACCTTGCACTTGCGAGGCAGGTGGCAGAACCATTAAGCTAAAAGCCCAGTCCTCCAGCCACTTTCAAAAAGCCACATCTATGCTCACACAAGGCTTTAGGGGGACACTCAGACACAAGCCATAACACACCACAATCAAGATGGTGTGCCTCTCTGGGACAGGAAGGAAGGAAGGCTTCAATTACATGTGAAAATGAGGTTCACATGCTTCTTTATGTGTTTCTTTGTGTGATTAAAATGTTTCACAAGTTTTTAAAAGCTAATAAAAAAATGGAATTTGTAACCTCTCAACCCTGGGTTAAAACTCTGACTCTACCAACTAGGAAAAAAACATTTTTTTACTTCTCTGACCCTCAATTTCTTCATCTGGAAATGGAGCTAATGCCTATTAGGCTGAACCATAGAGCTAGCCTCTTTCCCATTCAGAATTGTCTCATAGATCTGGAAAGAAGATGCGGTTCTTTTATTAAAATGGAGTACCACTCATCCACAAAGAATGAGAAGCCAGAGACATTTATAGCTAAATGGATGCACACTGAGGACATACTCTCAAGTGAAATTAATAGGACTCACGTGTAAATGCCAAACAGTTTCTCTGGTGTGAGAGACCGGAAGTGTAAATGAGGATCAAAATGTATAACAGATAATGTGAAATAGGAAGAAAGGGTGCAAAGGGGAAGGGGAGGTGGGAGGGGAAAGGAATAAATACGAAAAACACAGAAACAAAGCCTTTGTGAATAGGGAGGGGTGGAGGGGTTGAACAGAGGGCAGGGGAAGGGGAAAAATGAGAACCAAGATACGTCCTGTACAGGTACAAATTCCCAATGGCGAGTGTGATCATATTGTGTACCGAAAATGTGCCAAAATTGTCCACGCCAGCAGCTTCATAGGTGTCCCCTCCTTGCACTCAGCACTCCAAGGTAAGACAACAGAGAAGGGACCTCCTGCGTCGTCCTCAGTAAGCTGTCACTCACAGAAAGCAGAGGCATTTTGCTGGCAAGTTTGGGTGTGCCCTGGCCTGAAAGAAAAGGAGGAGCTGGACGGGCTCCTGAGATCTGCTCACCCCAGGAAGTCAGGAGTTTACCGGCCAGCCCCCAGCTGCCCAGCCACTGAACAGCAGGATGTGGACAGGTTGCAGCTCAGCATTTCCATATACATATCCACCTGTCAGAGACAAACGAGGCTTCTCTGGCTCACATCTGATGGAGGCACCTGCAGCACCCACCCAGTGCAAGGCAGCACCAGCCAGGGAGCAGGCTGTGAGGTCAAAGCCATCAACTAACCAATTGTAAAAGGAACCTGGATAAGCTCTCCACTGACTGTAAGCAGACCAGATGGGCCCCTTCTCCAAAATACTGAACACGGGTCTTCATTATGCTCAAGACTGAGCAAATTGCCTAGTGAAGATTCCCAGTGGGTGCCAGAAATGGCAGTTTATGGGTGCTGAACAGTCTTCTTTTTTCTTTCTTTTTATGTGTGTGCATGTGCGTGTGTGTGTGTGTGTGTGTGTGTGTGTGTGTGTGGAGGGATCAGTGGGTGAGGGCAGCAAAGGCTGAAGAGGATTAATGATTAAAGGCTGAGGGAAAAGACAGTCTAGCCAATTTGTGCTGATTTTCTTCGGTCTGAAATAGGGAAAGCCATGGATTATTCAAGCTTAATTGATGCTTTTGTGGCAAAGGAGCGAAAGGTGCTTAATTCATATTTACACTCTCTGAGGTCCATTACTAAGCTGTCACCCATCAGCCAAGCCAGTGGGCTTTTCTGTGGTCCCCACCTACACTTTCACAGATCTGTACCAAGGAGTCTGTCCAATCCCCGGCAACTGGCTGCTCAGGGTGCTGAAGAGGAAAAAGTGGAGTTGGAAAAAAGCTGAAGAAACCTAGACAGAGAATGGAGCACCTTTGGTCTTTACAACTTAACAATTTAATTTGTCCTACTCACGTTGCTATTTTTCTAGCCTTAACCCTGAAATAATATTTAAGATCTTATCTAAAGTTACAGCAACTCTGGTACACAGATTTAAAATTCTCGGGCAAGTCCCTGACCTCTGGAGTCTCGTGAGAGGTACAAACCTTCGCTGCGGCATTCTGTGAAGATTATGAGTTACGGGAGAGGAGTAGCAGACTGCACGGCCCGTCAAGGTTAGCTCTTTCCCCTTGAGTTGATAGGAACCAGTCCCTTTATGACCCACGGCACTTTATGGGCTCAGGAGGAGGAAGAATGTGTAAGAATCTCACGAGCAGTGCGCGATGGGTTTGGTTAACCGCCTAATTCTGCCCATTTTTGACCCAGTGAATATAAATGTAATGCCCTTGAGTATAAGAAACCTAAGGGAGAACCCAGCCTAACCTGCACAGGAACGAACTCCACGACATTATGCAAAGGAGCTAGCCCTTTGGATCAGGTGTGAACCACCCATGAGGAGAGCGTGAAGCCAGGCCCCAGCGCAGCCCGGCTGCACCCCATTTTCTGAGGAGTGGATGCCTTTGAATTCCAGCTGTTGTTGTTAAAAGCCTTTTAAAAGGGAGGGACAAAAAACAAGAAGGGCAGAATGTCTGCACAGTGAGAAAGAGCCTGCCAGGCAGGGCTCAGCTGTGAGTCCTCTTTCCACAGCCCCTCACCAGCCAACAAGGCTGACGGGGATGCATTTGCATTCAAGCAGGGCTGCCGCTCCCCCAGCGCCGCCCAAATTGCCCAGCTGGGTATTCACAGGGAATGCAAATGCAAAATGAAAGCTCCAGAAAAATCAATTGCCTTCTACAATGCACATGTATTTCTTTTGTAATCAGAAGACAATAGATCTCATAAAAAAGAAATAAAGCAAGCCAAACTGATTAAGCTATACAATTGAGGCAGAAAGTTTGTGTACATTAAAGCCTAATCTTTGCAAACAGCCGTGGACAGAGAGACTGAGGGGACACATACTCTGTCGACAAACCTGCAAGTAGGGAGCAACAGTGTAGTGTTGACCAGTAAGGCCCAGCGGGGAACAGGGGACAGTTTGGGATATTGACACAAAACACAGTAAAGAGAGATAAGGAAGAGAATTGGACCCAGAATGAGGCCGCCTTAGCACTACTCATACCTGCAGGGGATTAGCTGTTGTCAGTAGGTAGGACTGGCCTAGCGGGACAAGAATTACAGGCCAAAATATCCCCAGGTCCTACCCAAGGCAAAGTCACTTTAATGGTTTTTAGCATGGCTATTAGACCAATCTCTCCCACCTACCACACTGACTCCGCCTCTGCCTTCTTGTGCATCCCTAAGAATCTTCAAAGCCATCGACTGCAGTCAGTCTCTGCGCCTGCTCTGGGCTCCGTCCACACTCTGCTCCACTGTCACTGTCTGGGCCCCGTCAGTGGCACACTCCTGGTGCTCCTCGTCCTCTCAGGCTGCTGATCTACAAGTTCTTGGCTGGTTGCCACCACCGACTCTCCCCAGATGACTCATCTGTGCCCCATTCTGTGCCACGCCCCCCGGGCCTCCTTGTTGTTCTTTAGCTCCAGGCTCACTCCTGCCCCCAAGAGCCTGCTTTCCTCATTCTCTTCAGGTCTTGAGTCAGGAGACACAGCCCTGTGACGTCTAAAACTCAGTTCCCCAGAGAGTTATCACTTTCTACACTGCCTATCTATCTTGTTGCTCTTGACCCCACATGAGAACTTAAACCCAACAAGGGCAGGAACTTTTGTCAGCTTTTCTCATCACATGAACCCAGTGCTAGGTCAATAATTACTCAATGAACAAATCAGTGAGTGTGAAAGGAAGAGAGACGGAGGATGATGCTGAAGGACCCGGGAGTATAGTAATGTCTCTGACCCTCACTCAGCTTGCACAGTGACACTAGGGGAACGGCCCAGAGACTACACTCACCATTCTGCTCTGTTTCCCACAATCTGGAATCTGAATTTCAGTTTTTAAGCCACAAACCCAATTCACATGTTCTCTGAGAAATCAGGCTCCCAGTGACCAAATTATAAAATCAGAAATCCCATTTACTTCCTCACGGTAGGAGCAAAACAAAGCCAAACTGCTATTTGGACAGAAAAATCACTGAGTGTGTGAGACCAGTACCTTCACTCCCCTGTGGGAGAATCGACAGGAATCAGAAGACAGCTTGGTGACAATGAAACAAAATGGACAAAAGTGAGCCACAGAAGCATGGTTCTCATCAGATGCAGATGACCTGTGGGGCAAGTGGTTCTTAGAACTCCTACAGATGACATAAAACCCGACTCCATTGGTTTAAGCCAAAAGACTCAGAAAGCCACGAGGGAGTTTGACCTCAGGCATTGACTTGATGCAGAGCTCAAAGGGATCTGGTTTCTGTATGCATTGCTTGTCCTTGGTTCCTCCTGGTTAGTCTCAGGAGAGCTGGAACATTTTCAGATGGGACGGCCTAGACTTGACATCAGCCTGAGGAGTGGGAGGTACAAAAGGGCCGTCAGCACTGAGCTCTCAGCCACTATGTTCTTTGCAGAAGCAACTTTTTTCCTACATTTTCTTGGCCCAAACTCACTCTGCAGAGCCTGTTTCTCTTCCTTTAATAAATGTAAAACCTTGCTACCATTTGCACTTGTCTGGACCAATTAATTGTCCAGGAAAGAACTCAGGAACCACCTCTAGAAGGAGACTGTAGCATCCCAAACCCAGTAACAAGCTGCCCACTTACAGACTTGGATAGAAGCACTGAATCTGGCTCCTTAGGTGACTACGAAGGAACTGGATGATTAGCCCAGAAGCACAGAGGAGCCTGTTTGGTGTGGGGCAAGTGACCAGAGGAAGGAGAGCCGAGGAGTCAGGCAGGTGAATTCCCTCGCTTCTCCTTCCCACGGCCCATCCTTGGCCTTCTTGCCTGTCACGTGACTAGCTGTGATGAAGCAAGGCCCAGACTCAGACCACTTCCCACCTCCCTCACCTCTGGCCATTTCCCCCCTCACCTTCCTCCCCAGCCTTTTCCCACCCCATAAAGCAGCAGCAGCTCATCTTCACCGCAAGTGCTGCTTTCTAGAGCAGTGGCCCCAACACTTTCGGTACTGGGGACCAGTTGCATGGAAGATAATTTTTTCCACAGACCAGAATAAGGGAGAGGGGTTTCTTTTTTATTATTATTAGTTTATGCTTGTAATACATAATAATTACATTCCCTGGTGCTAGATCACCACCTCAGCTGCACCACAGAGCCTCAGGCATTAGATTCTCGTAACTGAGATCCCTTGCATGCACAGTTCACGGTAGGGTTCAGGTTCCTATATAAATCTAATGCTGCTGCAGCTCTGGCAGAAGGCAGAGCTCAGGCTGTATGTGAACAATGGGGAGCAGCTATGAATACAGGTGAAGCCTCACCTGCTTGCCTGCTGCTCACCTCCTGCTGTACAGTCCGGTTCCTAACAGCCCAGGGATTGGGAACCCCTGTTCCAGAGGACCGCAGACGAAGACATGATTTATTGTTATGTAACTCTCAAGAGAGTTTCCTAATTTATGGTGCAACTCAATATAGCCCCTGAGATCTGGCAACCAGCAGGGTTGGAAGAAAGAAAGTCTCAAACCGAGAGAATAGTATGACCAGAGGCCTAGAGCTGAAGGAATCCAGACTGGAGCAGGATATTGAGGGAAAAGAGCAAGAAGGCTGTCCCACACTCACTCAGGAGGGCCTTATAAGCCAGGCACATGGTGGGGAGGGGGTTTTGGCTCTTACTTCCCTCCAACCCAGACACTGAAATGTCACCTAGGACCCCCTCACCCCGCAGTAAGGATAACTAAAAGAACAAGTCACTTTCCTGGCTCCTACACGTGTTTGGGCCAGAGAAAGGCCAAGGTATGCTGGTGCAGGAAGGAAACGGAGGTCAAAATGTTTGAGTTTGGTCATTCTCCTGTAAACTGTAGAGGGTTTACTGAGCAATGGAAAGAGAGAACCAAACAGATCTCATTTCCAGCCCTGGTCTGGCCCTGTAGAAGACAAATAGTGAGAAAATGAGTCAGGAGACTTTTTGTCCTATGCTGAGAACTGGTAAAATGAGGAGAAAGCTTGGAAAATAAACTCAGTGACACCATGATGGGCAATAGGGAACACAGAAAAAGAGATTTTTTTAAACCAAAAAGTAGGAAAAACAAGTTTGGCCCGGGTGCTTTGAGTGAGCGAAGCTGTCTGAGTAGGAAAGGAGAAATGTGGGCACGGGCTCAGGAGATGGGCAGGAATGACCGCAGACCCTGAGCGGGCCCAGGCAGGCCGTGAGGACAGAGCCAGGATCACGAGCGGTGAAGCGAGGAAGGGTTGCGGGCAGAGCTCTGGGTGTGGGCCGCCTGCCTGAGCGATGCAGAAGGCGTGGACTGGGAAGGGGTCAGGAATCAGGAAAAGCCGTCAAGAGGCAGAGGAAGTCTCCAGGAATCCCCGCAAAGAAGTCCACCTGCCCGAGAGAGGCAAATCAGCCTTCCACGGTGGGTAAACTGAGGTTTCCTGAGCCACTGCAGATCACAGCCCAGAGCTCACACCAATCCTAAACACAAGGCCCCACTGCCTGCTCGGGTCCGGCCTGGCAGCAACACTCGCCCTACCTATCACGGAGCTCTAGCTGGCAGGATCTCCACACCGCCTCTGCCTTAGTCACTTTTTAATCGCTGGGACGCCATACCCAGCACCCATAATTTAAAGGAGGAGACATTTATTTTGGTTCACTTTCAGTCCTTAGTCTGCTGGATCCAGCACAGAAATCAGCTCGGGGTCAGGGCCTGCCCTGGAGGAAAGCTGTTCCGTCACAGCAGCCAGGAGGCTAAGTGAGAGCAGCCGGAGAGATGCAGCTACCAGCTCACACCCAGGGACCCACCTCCTAACCCTGCCCGACAACTCAGTCGCCTTTCAAAAGCCCTGCCTGTGAGCACACGCAGCTCGTGGGGGACATTTAGATATAACCACACCGTCCATCCTCAGTGATGGAGGCCACCTCCGCTTTGGTGGGAGGGCAGAGCCACTCCCAGGGCAGAGCCCTGAGCTTCCTCTACTCAGGCTCCCGCCTCCTTCATCACGATGCCTGGAAAGTAGAGGTCAAGAGAGGCTGCCATCTGCGCTGCTGTTTGAAATGTCTCTGTCAAGATATGTGTCCACCTGGAAATTGCTGGACACCACAGTTGACCTAGGGCCATTTCAATGCTTAGAACCTCTGCAGAGGGGACAGTGATCAGGGTGTTGAGAATAGAGACTTTTGCTAGCGCAAGGCTTCAAAGCTTCCTTATGAACAAGCTTTGTAACTTAACTGAACCCCTGGATAAAGAAGAGGGTCGAATAAGGATTCCCCTGCACCGTGAGCACACAGCCATCGTAAACACTGTGCACCTAGCCTCATTTCATCTTCAAAGTGCCCCTGTGCGGTAAGCACCACTGTAAATCATCTTCCATTTACAAACAGGCAAACGAGGCTCATAAAACTAGTGAGTAGAGAAGCCACATCAGACAGCGCTTTCCATTTCCAGTGAGAAATTCAGCTGACAAGGCTCTTGCAAGCAGACTGTTTCCTCTTGACTCAGAAACTCACACGGACTCTGTGAGAATCCACCCATGTTATGAGTCCCTGAGAGCCGAGACCTGTCCAAGATCTGATGGGTAGGCCCGCTGGGCTCTCAGCTCAGTGTGTTTCTTAGCCATCCCTGCTGTGCCCCATTGGTTGCAGGTGAAAGCGTGAACTGATACAGAATTGTGTAGATCAGAGGCCTCTTTTTGGAAAGATTAGATCTCAATCTGCCAAGTTCCTGAGTATGAAGCAGACATTACAAGAAGGTGTCAGCACATGGGTAGTGACCCCTCCGTGTTTAAGGAAGCTGTAACTGCCCTGTTCTGGGGGTGCCTAAGAAGCAAGGCCCTGAGCCTCCTTCTTCACCTGCTGCTCTCAGCCTCTGCTTCAGCAGTAAGCAGCAAGCTTGCATCCTGGCTGCTGCCTCTGTGCTCCTAAACCTCAAGCTCCATGTCTTCATCTGTTGGCTGTTGCTATAACCAAATACTACAGACCGAGTAATTTATTAAGAATAAGGATTGACTCAGTCTGAAAAATTCCAGGTTGGGCAGCCTTATCTGGTGGGGTCTTTCTTGCTGGTAGGGACTCACTGCAGAGGCCCAGGGTGGTACGGGACATCACGTGGGGAGATGCAACATCCTAGTTCAGGTCTGGTGAAGCCAGAGTCCCACTGAATTAAGGCCTCCCCAACATGGCCTCATTTTAAATCAGTTCCCTCCCAAAGGCCCCATCTCAAAACATTGTAGTCAAATTAAGCTTCCCCCTCTCGGCACCTCAGCAAGGGGATTAATGAGTTTTGGAGGGGACACTCAAAGCCGAGCACCCCATGAACTTGTTCTCCACATCTCTGTCCCAACCCTCACGGACCACTCCCTGCCACTCATTCCCC